AAAAAGATAGACACATAATTTGGACCAGATCAAACTTAGAAGACTTAGGGAAGAGGGAATTGGCTCTTTATCAATGAAATGGTGAACTAAACGTAGCATGCAAATAATACATTAAAATATATAATGTACTTCCTTTACAACATTTGTGTGACACATGCATACTAATAAGAGCACAATGAACTAAGAAATGGATGATTACCCCATAAGACCATTGACGCGTTCTACAATTAATCGAGAAATTAAATCTCACAGGGATAGAGGAGATATCCAATCTGTTCCATTACAAAAGTGTTTATTAATGTTAGTAATAACATTAGCTGGAAATCAACAATAATCTGTCATGGCAAACAACAGGAGCCTGTTGTCACTTCTATTCCACCCACCACCCATTACAATCAAGGTGACTTATTAAGTTGATAAAATTAGGTAGAGGGGTTAAGGTGGCACTTAATGACTGGGGGACACAAAAGCCAGCGGGGGCATCAAGCTCATCGGGAGCTCCCCAATCGCGGGTCCTGGGGCTTTTCCCAGCCGGTGGACGAAGCTCCAGGAAGGCAACCGCGCCTCGGTGTGACTATGGAAGCGGGCAGGAAACTCCCGAACAGTGACGGGCGGGGAAGGGAAAAAAAAAGCGAAGGCGACGGGAACCACCCTCGGCGCTCGTGACCAGGGAAAGGACCGTCGGAAACCTCCGACGACGGCGGAGGCGGTTGGCGGCAGACCCGCTTAGCCGCCCGCTCAAATCTACCGGACGCCCAGCAAACTTTCCTGCCCGAGCAGAGAAAAGTGACGGCTTTGGGGTGGGGTGGGGGGGTGTCTCCAGACAACCTGAGCTCCCCTTCTCGCCGTACCTGAGGGCTACTCTACGCGAAGGCACTGCCAACCTCTCCACCAGAGCCCTGCCGAGAGCCCGACTGCTCCGCGCCATTATTCGACTTCCCGCGGCGCCTCCAGACGCCCTCAGTGCCCCATCCTATTCTGGCTCCCTCTCCCTCAGCCGCCGCCGCCGCCGCCTCAACGGCCTCCCAGTACCTGTCCACACCTCCCTCCCGGAGGCAGAGCCAATCGCGTACCAGAGGCGCCCGACGCCAGCCTATCGGCGCGGAGCTCTAGCCCGAGCGTCATCCTTCGGCTTTCTCCGCCCTCCTTAGACACGCCCCTGGGCTGCTACTCCTTCGCCTCTTCCTTTCGGCCCCCCAGCACGTGATTTACCGGACTCGCGCCAGGAGATAGAGTTCAGGGCGTCGGGGCCGCGCCCGATCACAAGACTTGCTACCGGGGTTATACGAGGCCCTCCGGTTCGCGAATGCTAGGACTGGCCCGCGATTGGCTCCACCGGATGCCACTCGCTCGCCCTTCGAAGCGACGTAGCTTGAAAAGCTAATAATATTAGCAAGGCACGCCGAGAATGTCCTTGTTGTTCTTCCTCCCGTTTAAATCCTTTCTTGGCAGCAGAAGCAACTCTTAAGGAAAAAAAAGCTGCCGGGTTTGACCGTGGCTTCTGCTTTCTTTTTTCCACTGAGGAGAGCTAAAGACAAGGTTTCTTTCTGTAGGACAGTGTTTCTCAACCTTGGCAACTTGAAGAGGTCCGGACTTCAACTCCCAGAATTCCCCAGCCAGCATTCGCTGGCTGGGGAATTCTGGGAATTGCAGTCCTGACCTCTTCAAGTTGCCAAGGTTGAGAAACACTGTCCTACAGAAAGAAACCTTGTCTTTAGCTCTCCTCAGTGGAAAAAAGAAAGCAGAAGCCACGGTCAAACCCGGCAGCTTTTTTTTCCTTAAGAGTTGCTTCT